GTATTTGAGACTTTTTTACAGAAACATGGAGAAACAGGAACTTGCAAGAAGTCTTAGATCCTCAGTAACAGTTCTACCACTGCTAAAAGCAAAGAGGGGAAAATAGACCCTCTGGTAAAAAGGGACCCACAAGACCTTGTCCAGCTTCTTTCCAGTTTAAGGTATCATTTACGAAAACTAGTCAATAAAAGAAAACGGGATTTAGTGCCATTTTACCAGTGTATTTTGAACTTTTGAAACAAGTCTGTCTAATCAATGCCAGCACAAGTTGCTTCACGTGATTTTCAATACCAAAGTGAATGAGGGGGAAAGGGACACAACATATTATTGCCACAGAATCTGTGTGATTTATTTTTAATAACTTTTTAAATATTAATTATTTTTTGTTCAAGATGATATATTTCTTGTATTATATCCGACAATGGCTGAGTTTATATAACTCTTCAAACCCTCTTACTGTACTACAACATTGTTTGTAGAATGATCAGCTATGGGACATGTCTGCTTACAAGCTTTTCTGAGGCTGGGGATTGCAAGGTTTCTGAACAGGTAACTCCTTGGGAATTTCTGAAGGACCTTATGTCTCCAGAGCTAAGACAGATCAAATAGCAAGAGATCATATTGGTAATTTTATTATGGACATCTGGATAGGTGCTGACTAAACTTGCCTCAGTTTCAGCTGGCAGCCAGGGAAGATATCAGAAAGCATAGTAGCCATAGCTCATAGTTTTCAAAATGAATATTGTCAGATTACAAGTGCTGGAGCATTTTTCAGTTCATATTGTCATTTTTATTTTCCCTGATGTTTTTGACTAACTTGAAAATTACCAGCAAGTAATTTCCTAGACAAATAGGAAATTATTTAGCTAGCTATGATCATGACTTTTTTATGTGGCATCTGTGGGGAGTTGAGGCTTGAGTGAAGCATTTTGTTTATTTGGGTTCTTTTTATTCTAAGATAAGTCTATAGTAGCAACTTGTTTTGACTTTTGTTTATCAGAGAATCTACATGAACTGCTGTGTGAGCAACCCACACATGCCGTGTCCTCATCATGTGTAGTTACTTCTGCATTTTATCACTGCAGCTGCAGAACAATGCTTTTGAAGTAAATGCGTTTTCTCACGGCTATTTGAGGAAGACTGGAATTCTGACATTTAAGGACAATTTGAAATTTTCCAATGAATTCACTTCTTGTGTCCTATTGTTTCCTTTGTTTCTGTAAGCCAAGCACGTTTGAAAATGGTCTCAAGAACTGGCAAGTACTCTTATGCCAACTCTTGTCATAATTAAAGTATGCAAGCTATAGCAGCACAGGTCTTGGCACCTGTGTCCCAGTTGTGTTCCTTCTCACTAATCTGTTCAGTTAGATGCTTTTCTGGGTGTCTTTGCAGGTGAAAAGATGCACCTGTATATACTCCCATCCTTCAGAAAGCAGAAGTCAAGGGTGGCCATGGAAGGCCCCAGCAATGGCCAGCACACTGCTGCTTTCTCAGCCTCCCTCAGGTTGGTGTCACAAAGCACAATGCTCCAGTTCTACTGTCTGTGGCAAGGTGATACACAGACAGCATGACGCCATATAGATAAACAGATGGCTCAGGGGTATGGCAGGTTAAAATGGAATGCTGATGGGGAGGGCTTGACAGAGGTGCTGTGCTCCTTTCAGGACATTGATGCTTCCAGACTTCATCTCCACAGCTCAGTGAACTCACTTCCAAAGTAGATAGGAAGTATCAGAACAACAAAAGCTTTGCAATGAGGAATCTAATCTAGTTTAAACTGAAGGAACTTGCAACCAGTGGAGCTATTACAGGCAGTCCTCTGAATTTTTCCTTCTTGCATCCTGTAAGCAAATTCTCTTTAACAGCTTTGCATCAAGTATGTGTAAGGATGGGTTGTGTAAATTGTTAAACATGAAGACAAAGACTAATTTTCAATTTCACCTGAAGACAAAATCAAACTTTAGGAAAAGAATGTAATGACTCATGTAAGTAAGAGTAATCACAGTTTAGGAAGGCCTGCCCAGCTACGGTCCATTACTTAGCATGTAGTCATGCTCCTAAGGAAGTTACTGCCCCTTTTCTGGTTCTTAGTCATTAAAAAAATGACAAGCATGACACTACTTCCTCTGTAACTACAGTGCCTAAAAATTTCCTGAGTGATTAGAATCAGCCGGTAGAGACCATGTTATGTGCTAATGGATCAGAGTTTTTGGCATGATTTGAAATGTCTTTTACCTGAACTGTGGAACATGTGGTTTAGATAGTGAAACAAGAAATTTTCCTTTATACAATGAGGAAAATAATAGTTTGCACTTCTGTAGCATCTTCCACCTGATAAACTGATAGTCTTCCTTCTGAAAATATATATATATATTATATATACAGTCTTCCCTGTAAAAAATAACTACCATTGTGATGTATGTTACAAAAATGTTAGTGTATGTCATACAGGAAGTAGGTGGGTCAGAATACTAGAACTGAATGTGGAATCCATGTATCACAACTCCTCTTTCTGTATTCTCACCCTAATGCCATTTTTCTTGCACTGGACATATTGGTGAGGCATTTTGGTGTCCAACATGAGATCACAGTCTGGTGTTCTTTGGTTCCTCTCCCCTCCCTCTCTCAAGTATATTTTGAAGAAAGATTATAAATTGAATATTCTATGGGAAATCTCCACAGATTGTTATTCTCACCAGTGAAGTTCTAGAACCTGCTACTGTGCCTGAAACATTTCTGGTACCTCTCTATCCTCAATACTTTTCACAACCAGCAAGACAAATGCAGAGTGCCATCAGCCAGGCAAGATTTGGTAGTTTTCCTAGTTTATCAGTAGCTCAAATGGCAAAGCATTTGGGGAAAAACAATTGACAAAAGAACAGTGAGGTTTTGGTATGCAGTTAAGCCTTGTTTTATGTGAAATTAGTTGAATTTATATCTTAACTTCAAGGCTCTGTTCAGTGTCCGTAGGGTGCTATAATTTTTTGTAATTTGTGGAGAGAAAAATATAGAAGTCTGTCTGTCAGCATGCCACAAATAGTGACTTATGTTCCAGCACCAGTGAATGGATCTTTTTGAAAGCTGTTGTGTTTCATATTTACCTCAACTTTTCTGTTTTGGAAGTTGTTGTAAAAGGTGTATGGCAACACCAACACTGACAATGCTTAACTATTGCTCATGCCTGCCTTAAGGAACTGGTGTTTGCTATGGGAAGGGGAACACCAGTCAGAAATGCTACTGAGCTTCCTTTACCTTACTCGATAAACTTAATTTTCTAATCTTCTGTCTCTGTCCCTTAGTGAATATTGGAGTACTACTGTCTGCCTTTATTTTCCTTTCTCTTATTTTACACTAAACTTCATTTTATTTGAGCTTTCTTATGCAAAGATTCTACTAATAGATGTGAAAATTCCTAGACTTTCCCAAGAATTTTCATCTCCCAATGAACTTCAGCAGCTTTTGTGATGGCTAAAGAATCTTGTCTTGATCAGCTAAATGTTTATTAAACTCTAGCTACACTTCAAATGAAGGTTCAGTGTTTTTCAGGTTTAAATTGCTTCATTAAACATAAAAAAATCAGTTGCTGTGAGATATTTCAGTTAGCTGAGATTGCAAAATTCAGTTTTATGGACAATGTGTAAAATGCCAAATTATGGAGAGGTAAATGTCCTAATTCTACCCAGTACCCAGAGATATGTGGAATTTTAATCCTGCTGCTGTCACTATCAGATGTTTAACTTGTTTAGTGTGAGAGCAGCAGGATTGAATTTATTTTTAATTATTGGCTTGGTAATATGTAGAGGTCCTGGAACATAAATAATCTGATCCTTAATTGCATTTATCATTTAGATATCTTAGGACCACAACTTCAGCAACATTATGTAATCAGGCTCTGAAGTAGATACATCAGAAACAATTTATTAAAGCTAGTACTGGTAAACATGGAGAAAGAGAATGAAAGGATTGAATATTAGAGGGAAATAAAAATAGTGCATGAAGAGGAACTCCCAAAACAGAACCACCATACAACCAATAGAGATCAAATTCTTAATGTCAAAAATCAATTAAATATTTGGTTAGGCAGAAAACCATGTGCCTCTGGAAAGCTAATGCAAATAGGATAATTGAAAAATGAAATCTTATTAATTCTGATAGAATGGAAATTGAAACTGAAAGAGCTGGAATAACTGTGGTAAAACTAGAGATATGTTGGCCAGGCAGTCTGAAGGACTGAGCCAATGGGAAAGAGACAAATACTGCGTTAAACTGCTAGAGACAGTGCATTTAAAGTCAACTGAGTGTGCCTTGATTTGTGCTAAAGCAAAAGCCCTGTGGCTGAATGAATGGTACAGCTGAAGGTGCTCGAGATAATTAGTTGAAAATGAAGGTTGTATTATCTCATTGTTTTGAAGGTATACTTTGCAAAAGGAGGGTAGGTGACCATCAGTTCTGTCAGTAGCTCCCGATTCTGTACACCTAGTTGACCCTTTGTTGTAGAAGATGCTTTTTATCCCACCAACCTGTTGCACAAATAACTTCATCCGACTTGGTAGGATGAGGGGGGTGCCTACCAGCGCAAGTAAATTGTGCGTGTAAAGTACGTAATAGGCTAGGAATCGTCTGTGAACAGGGTGGGTTTAGCAACCTGTTGATTTTCGCTGTAGTGCTAATTTGAGAGACGAAATTATGGAGGCCAGGTTGTTAAATCTACGGAAAAAGGGCATCGGGAGGTCACGGCCTGCGGGGGGCTGCTGCGCCGGGGGCTCGGCAGGACGCAGCCTGAGCGGCCCGGAGGGTGTGGCTGGAGCCCCAGGCAGCGCCCGGGGCTGCGCAGCGCCCGGAGCCGCCTCCGGCCCAGGTGAGGGGCTCCTGCGGCGGGCGGCAGCGCACGGAACCGGGGCCGGGCTGTCGCCGACCGGGCAGCGAGCGATAAAGGCTCGTGGAAGGCTCCGGCTGAGTCACCCTTAAGTAAACGCGAACTGCGCTTCTTTGGGGCGGGCTGGTGCTGGCTACGCGCCGCTCCTGCCGCGGCACGGCCAGACCTGGGGCTCTGCCGAGAACGTCCCGGCTCGTTGTCTGGCAGCGCTCCGCACCGCTGTTGTTGCGGTCCGGTCTCCGCCAGCGCTGCCGGGCTGCCCGCTCCGGTTCCGCGGCCCCGAGGGAGGGGCCCGGGCGGCACTCGCTGCCGCGAGGTCGCTTGGCCAGCACAGACGCTCCAGCCGATCCGCAGAAAGCCTGGAGAGAAGCAGCAGTGATCAGAGCCGGTAACTGCGGGGAGAGCGTTCACCCCTCGGGCAGAGGATGCAGAGTTGGCTTTGTGTGTGAGTGTGTGCGGGTGTCCCCGTGTCCCCGCACCGCTGTCGGGGCAGCGGCAGCAGGGCAGGGCTGGCCTGCGGGCTGCTAGAAATGCCATAGCTGTGACAGTGACTACCGAGACCTTGGATACAAGTGCTTAGGTTTTGTGGGAATTGATCCCATGGAAAGCTGTTTAAGTAAGTGTAAAACGCTAGTGTGTACTCGAGATACTTCTGAGTCTCTGAGTAGAAAGAAAAGAAACCCTGTGTCCTCTTTTTTTTCCCCTCTGTCTTCTGAAGAGGAGAGGGTGCAAAAGCACTCCTTTCCGTCCGAATTTGTGATTTCTGAAAGGCGATGTTAGTTTGAAAAAGTAATGCTAAAAAGGTTTTTCAGTTAAGTGGGCTGGGTTGTTTTCTTTTTTTTTTTTTTTTTTGTGGGAACAGAGGAATAGTCAAAATAAATTGCTTCCTTTACCAGAGAAGGAACAAAAGGTGGTATTTTTGAAGCATTGACTAAAAAAAAAACTTAGATTGTTTGTAACCTTGGTAAAGTTCTCTGTTTCTGCCAGCAAAATGGGGAGAGAAGGTTTATTTCAAGTCAAGGTTTCATATTGTTCAGGATTACTGAGCCAACTGATTGGGCACTTGCATTTCAGAGATAATTTCATGGCCAAATGAAGAAGGCTGTACTTATTTTTGAATCATCTTCAGTGATCACTTTTTCTTGGCATTTTTTATAGATATGAAGGCATTCTACATGTGAAAATTCACAAAGAGAAGTATGGGATTTCTCTATTTCTCTCATCTTGAAAAAAAGATATTTCAAAAATAATTTATTCTGGGCTACGTATTTGCTGTTGCATCAGAATAATAGTTAAAAATAGCATTTTAAATATGCAGTTCAAGGATGTATGGGGGGAGGGTGGAAATTGTGTGGCATATATATAAAGAGAGAGAAGGAGAGCATGAACATTGTGATAGCACTTCAAGACCCTTTGGAAGCAGTGACCTGACTAATCTTGCGGGGATGTTTGATGTTTGACAGACTCATGTTTTTTTCTGATAGTAGCTTAAAGCCTTTGAACTACTGCATGTACTTTCTCAGTCTATGTCTCTGTATCATAACAGACTGTAGGTTCTTGAACCTTAATATTTTTCTCAAAGTCTTGTGACGTGTGCTAGACAAGCTACTGCATCAGTTTCTTTTTTTCATTACAAAAGCAGAAAGTACAGGTTGCAGAAAGCTGCTTCCAAGCCATTTTGGGGAGCAGAAAGCCTTTCTTTTTTGTTACAAAAATGAAGAATGCTACACTGCTTCTAGGGAGACAACATGAAATCCACTTTGAATTTATAATGGCTACAGTTTTGATTGTATTTATTCCTATGGTGTGTTAACTTTAGAGGCATTTTAGTCATGCTTTTTCCCATATTCTCTTATTACATACACAAAATAAAAATCTGGGGAAACTCATCTGCCTTTTTGTCCTGCCCTTGACTTTCTTCACCCTTAAGGATGTTCACTTCCCTTTTTTTTCTGTGCACATCTCCATAGTGCATGCAGATATGCCAAGTAATTTACCCGGAAATAAAGGGTAATGGATCTTCCACTTGTTGAAATTTATTGTTGCTGATTCCAAGGAAGGGATGGGAGATGGGTGGGATGAATTTGTGGGCAGATTTGATGCGGCAAAAGTAAGTAGAGTTTTCACAGAAGTTGGCTCTATCTTTTAAATACCCAAGAACATTCAGCTAAATACCATAAACCATGTTCAAGTCCTCTTAGCTTCATAGCATGTATAATGGTAGAGATTGGTGATATGATAGCACCAGGTATAAACTCCAGTGAATTTTGATATGTGAAAAGAATCACCCAAATGCCAGGTCAGTAAGGCTGAGAAAAATGTGGGTATTTTAATGTCCAAAACTGATTTAGATATAGTTTTGAAATAGCTTGAGAGTTTAATTTGGGATTCTGAAATTGTTTTTCTGTTTCCTTTTATGAGGTTTCCCCTAGCATGAGTATATACAGCCTTGGACTGTTTGCTATGTCATTCATGTATATCTGAGGCTGAACTCAAGATTTCCCTTTCCTTCACTTCTCTTCTTCCAACATATTGAAACAAAAAAGTAGAAGCCACTGCCGTTGATTGTATTACATTGTGGTATGGAAGGGACACTTGATCCTATACCTGAGTCATTCTGAATGAACCATCAGAACACTTCCTCAGACTGTCTGAACATCAAAAAGATTTCATGAGGACAAGCTGAGCCAGAAAATTTGGATTTGTATCCCAAACATGGAAGAAGCAGAAGGATATTTAGTGTGTTGTTTTAGGGAACTGAAAGTTATTTGTTTCATTGTTCATGGTTATTTTTGTCTTGAGCAATCATGTGAAGAAACCAAATCCCAGCTGTTTGGACTTGTCCAACAGATACATACTTTATTGTATGCCCAATCTCCTACTGTTAATTCTAAATGAGATACTGAGATGCCTCTTCAATTGTATTTGCTCACCCTCATTCATAACAAAAAGCTAGAACCTCTCAGAAGTTACCTGGAAATATGTCATGCTTTCAACTTCTCTGTATTCACAATGTGACTCCTAAAAATTCTGTTCCCATATATTCTTCCAAATTACAAACTGAAGAAAGAGAAGTACTGCTCTATGTATAAATACAAATTCATTTGCCATTTTTAACATTATATTGGCACGAGTCCATCTTGTTTGCACCTAGCTAGGGGAAATTTGCATGATTTCCAAAATGTTCTGTTAGTTGCTGCATTTTGACAAATAGGAATGCATACAATTACATTTCAGTTCCTTTTGAGCCATTGTTCTTTTACAATTTCTATAATTTCTGTTGTTAATTGCATAATGGCCAATGTTCAAGGCAGACTGTCTCTTAGGGAGTAAAAATTTCAGGGCTTCTATATCTGGTAAAGACAAACATTCTTTGAATCATATACTAAAGTATTTGAGACATTCCAGAGTCTTCAGCTGAAGAGGCTTCCAGTTTCCAGTGTTTATATTCAATACAAGAAAACTGGATGGATGGTTTGGTGGGACTTTTGTTGCCAAGCTGATTGTTGTAGTTCTCTGTTAATATTTATCAAGAATATATAGTACAGCAGCACATGAGCAAGCAGATAAATGTGTGGTGGAAGCTAGCAGACCTGCTGTTCTCAGTTTTTTTGGGTTGGTTTTTTTTTGTTTGGGTTGGGTTTTTAATTTGTTTTGGGTTTGTTTTATGAGGTTTTTTGTTTGTTTGGGATTTTTTGAGAGTTTTTTAAAGAGGTTTTGTAGGGAGGACTGTTAGAAATATTATCAAAGCTGCACACATACTTGTGGCTATGTGTATTGCAGGTTCTTGAATGTAGGTACTTCTGTACTAACTGTGGAACCCTACCTTGAATCCTCAAAACAGTACTTGGGTATGAATTTGAGGGTTAAGTATTGAATTTGTAAGTCACATGAGTACTACTTAAAAAAAAGCAATTATTAGGTCAACTCTGGGAGTTTGGTTTTGATTCTCAAGGACTTCTTAGGAGTAGGGGTGAGATGGAAAATGCTGTACATCAGGGGGTCATTTGTTGGAAACTCTGTTGGATTGAAAACCTACTGGGTTGCTGTAAGAATTACCTTGTGATTGGGTTAGGAGAGTGAATTCTCAGCTTTCTTTGTGGATCCTCAAATATAAAGTGGTTGAAAATTTCATGTCATAGTAAGCCTACTGTGGCCTCATCAGCTATTAAACCAAAGCTTTCTCTGTTTACATTAATAACAGCTTGGATTTGACGCCTGCTTGCAGATAATGTGTTCCATTTCAGCATAGCCATGGGAACCTTGCAGGAAAGGCAAAGGAAAACTCTTTCACTGGATAACCTGAATGAAACCAGTTGAAATTCTGAGGTTTGGGGGTGGTTTTATATAAACCAATAAGAAACTATAACAATTAAATAAAGACTCCTAGCAGGCCTGTAAGGAGAACAAGATCTGTACAATATGAGCCAGCTAGTTTCCAGTTTTTCAGACTCCATAAACAGTGTTTCTTGCTTTTCTACAGTGAGTACACAAAGTTAAAGTTTCAAATGGTTGTGTGAATTATAAGAAGACTTTTTTTCCCCCAGTTGTTGGAGGTATTTATATCATTCTGTTTTAAGAATAAAGCTGAATTTACAAGAAACAAGGTCAGTCAGTTTGCTTTAGCTAGAGGAGATTGCAGGTTTGTAGTAAGCATTTGCATTTTAGATCTTCGTATCTTTGGACTAGTTATTTTGCTTAGAACAGCTGTAATGCAAAATTAACTTTACAGGAATTATTGTGAAAATAACTATGTGATATTTTCAGTACTTGCCAATTAGTAGAAACTATGTTCTTCAACCACATCATAAATGGAGAGATGATATAGTATTTCACGTCAGTGTAATAATTTATGGCAGAATTTTTGTGAGACTCTATTTTGGTTTCTTTAGGATTTTGTATTTTATTTGGATCTGTATGACAAAAAATGTCAGTTCTTTGCTAACACCTCAGATCTTTTCTACTGTTTTCATCAAGAGATGTGACCAGAGTCAAGCAGATTCTCCCTAGGCAGAAGTGCTATTTCCAGAAACTTTTTTTACTATAGTGCATAGTACCTGTGCTCTGACAGAGGCTTGGCAATTGAAGAGTTAAAAAAAAAAAATTTACTAAGTATTTATTGTAGGACTTTCAATATAGGAGAATTGGGAAGGGATTTGTTGTTCAAGTCTGAAAACCTTATCCAGCTGGTAAATCTCTGCAGTGCAGCTGACAGGAAAAAGCAGAATTTTTACATACTTTGATATCAGTTTTAGCATTACTGTAAAAGTAAGCCTCAATATATAATGTACAATAACCTCTGACTAGAAGTAACAGTAGCTTCAGTACAGAAATATTTTGATAGTAGCTGTGATGCTAAGGCTGGAGAAGGGAGTGGGAGGACTATAGAGGCACCTCTGTTTTCCTTGCAACACCTGTGCATTCCCCTAAACAGGAGGAATTCTTGTGCAGCTGTGAGCACCTGACTGCCAGGGTGCTCATCTTATTTTTCAGTATGGAACTTGACCGAGGTCAGAACAGATTCCCCCTGTCCATAACTGTTATTTCCAGAAGCACTTCTGCTTTCTGAGTTCATATCAATCTCTGCAGCATCTGTGGCTGTTCCAGTTTCTGTGAGAAGCACCTGGCTAACAGCTAGGTGAAATAATACAGGGCTGGTTGCCCTTTAGGTCTCGTGGTATGTTCCACAGAGTGGCTTTTGCAGACTGATACAACCGCATAGGATAAGGCAGCAGTCTGTCTTCTGCAATACAACACTGAGCACAGGGCAGCATTTTTTGAGGAAGAGAACTGTAATTTGTTAATGAGCCTGAAGGGTTTGTCTCACTAAGCTTTTTGCTCACGCGAACAGAAAAACCTGTACTGTATGGCAAACTGCAATTGATTGTACCAGAGACTGACAGCTATGCAAATCTCTGTGTCAACAGCAATTTGAGCCAGCAGGCTGGGCATGCTGAAGAAGAGAATTCCAGTAATCTGCTCCTGTCCTTATCTCTTGGGTAGAGCCGTTTAGTTTACAGCCTGTTAGAAATATGTGACCAGTTATCTGCTAGATTTATTACTTGAGCAAGACTCCTTAGCAACAGGTTTTTCCTCACAGTGTGCCAACTACTGGGTTTAAAAACATATTCTTCCAAACCAAGCTGTAGTGTCCTTTATTTTTTGACAAATATTCTGAAAACTTTGCTTGTTGTCAGTGATTTGGATTGATGTCTGAGTCTACAAAGGATGTGAAAAAGCAAAAAATAGGAACTTGGTGGATTAAAATGGGGAATTGTTCACAGCCTGGTTTTGCATATTTGTCCAGACTGGTTGTGTTTGGTTGTGACTTTTAACGTGTATATAAAGTTACATACATGTGTGCTTGATGTGCATTGGCAGCAGCATGACTGGGTCTTGAGGTATCTGACTGCCTCAATGCAAAGCAAAAGTTCAGTTTCAGAGACCTTTGTTAGTCATGCCACTTAACTTCCCTTAAGTAAGGACTTTGATGATTGATATACAGTAAGAAATCTTGGTTTTGTTTTTCCAGAACCAAAAATGATAGCTGCAGGAAAATTTTCAAGTCTTCCCAGAAACAGCCCAGTGAACCACCAGTTCTCATTAGCTTCTTCCATGGACCTTTTGACCACAAAACCTTCACCAATTGAGCATCATTCAAACTCCTTCCAAGGCATCTCTATCCATGGCACTCTGCCCAGGAAGAAGAAGGGAACAATTCCCTCTAGGTCTTGTGATATGTTTAGCCACGTGGGAGCATTGCCTTACACCAGAGCATGGCAGCAGCCACCTTTTGTAGAGGATGTTATAGAAGAGTACCCTCCAGACAATGGAAAGAGCAGCGAACTCCATGCCAGGTATGTTGTAAAACCTTAATTTACACATGTTAGTCACATAGGGATTATTTTATATTCTTCTAGGTCTCTAAAGGCCCAGTCATAGGTACAGATAACTTAGTTTACTATAAATAATTAGGTTTTCTCCTAGTATTCAATTTCCATCTCGATGGAAGACCTACATAATTTTTAATGACTGTGTCTCACCTTTGCATGTTTAAAAGGTATAATATTGTGTGTACTATTCCCATGGATTAATTTTTTTAATTTACTGAATTGCTTTGATATGATCCTTTGCATTGCTGTAACAGAGCAATTTTAAACAAGAAGTCATAACTGTTCAAACTTGGTTTTGATTTGTATTCAATGCAATATGGATGGAGGGCTGAGGAAAAGGAGAGTGGTGTTTCAGGTGCCTCAAATCTCGAGCTAAGCCTTCTTCATGAAAACTTGGTAGAACCCAAAGTACACTGAGTTAATGGCAAATTATCCCTATTTATTATTCCTGCCTGACTTTGTGGTTAATATATGCAAAACTCTTAAGAAAGACTCATACTCTTATAGCTAGCCTTTTTTTTTTGGGAATCTATTATCATCACTGATATTTCATTGCTTATAAAAGGTAATTAATTTTGTAGATGTCCCTTTTGTTTTGTTATTGAGTTCTATAAAATGGGAAAAAAATTACCTGCTAACACAAGAAAAATTCAGTGTAATGCAGTGGATCAGTTAAAGACATAGAAATGAGAGACTATTGGTTGCTTGGCTGATGGAGTTAAAGGCTGAGAAAAGATACCCAAATTTTAAGATCTGAATTAGGATTTACAGCCTTGCTTTGTCCATCACTATGGTTTTTTGGTTTTCAAGTCTTGTGAGCAAAGAAGAGTTCTAATTAGGTAAGGTTGTGTGTGTAGAGTGGTTTTCTTACACTTTTTGCTTGTGCTTTATGGGATCAAGCTTTCTTCTCACCTAAAAAGATTTTCTTCTCTATACCCCATTCATTTTAAAAGAAGAAAGGACCTAAGTGGGTTTAGTACTTCTCTGAGCTGTACCTGCCTACATGAACTGCCTTTTAAACATCATTTGCTTCTTTTATTTACATACTTTTAGAGAAAGCCAGCAGCCTGGGGTGTTGCCATGGAAAGAATATGGTGATACACACTGAAGTTATATTTTATATCTTCCTTTTCAAGAGCCGTTAATAAACATTATTTTCTTGAGAGACCAAATCCTACTGACAACTTGTCTTATGCATATAACCTTGTCTTAAAAGGAACGCTTCAGTGCACAACCACTCAGAGTACAAGCAGAATGCTTGAGAAGAAAATGTCAGCAAGGTCTGCCTGGTCAGAATTAGAACAATGCTTTTGAATTAATAAAGAGATTCAAAGGGTGTTATTAGTGCAGTCTGGGAATAGAATTTGTGTCTATTGAGTCACAGCACAAAATGCTGTTCATGTTTGATCTTTCAATTACTTTGCTAAAACACACTCTGAATGCTATGGTAACAACTTCTAACAATTGGTTTCTTTAATTTTTACAATAAATCATTATATGTTCTGCTCCATGACCTGACTGCGCAGTTGTGTTAGAGCAGAAGCCAATACCAACTCGGCAGTCAGCAAATATATCACTTCTTGAATCTTCCTGCAATGACATTGCATTTTCATTACTTTAAAGGAAAATTGAGAGAAAAAATCTGATTTTCATGTGTTAAGCAGTTTTCCAGATGTGCTAAGTTATGCATTCTAATGCTTACAATCATATCTGGTCCCAATAGTATAAGGGAGTCCACATTACCTTTTTCGTGTTTTTGCGAAAAAAAAGCCCTTTTACTTCAGTGTAGGAATTTGTGAAATAATGTAGTATTACAAGAATATTCTGCAGTCAGGAGGATATCAGTCTTTCATTGCTATAATGCCATTTACAAAACGGAACATTTACAAAAACACATTTTAATGAAACATTATCATGATGCACTGTTCAAACTAAGTGCTGTGTTTGATGCCAGTGGGCCAGAACTAATAGTCATTAGGATTGCAATGTTTATGTGCACATGGATATGAGTATTTTGAACTGTGGCTCAGTCATGTCATTGTTTGATTAATTCTAACCTAAAGAACATATTTCACATATTTCTGTGAAATATGAAGAAATAAAGAACATATACACACTTCTGATAACTTGGAGAAATTATCTTCTCAATAGTCAATGCAATAGGAATGCATTCTCTTTTTGGTTTGTGAATGTACATCTCTGCTAGTTAGTTCAAGAGGGAAAAAAGTTTTCCTTCTTGAGAAAGCTGGCATCTGAGTTTTAGAGTCTCTTAGAAATAATTAAATGGCCAGAGTTAGGATCAGCTGAGCTCTTGAAAGGTAGTTTTATTAGCTAAAAAATAATTCACTCTTGAAAGTGAAGAATTTCACTTTTAAAAGAGAATTCTCATTGTAGCATGTAAAACTAAAGCTGCTTGTGTGTAATGTTCTTTATTATCTGACATTGATAATTAAACCTAAATAAAGCTTAATTGTAATTTCCCTTTGACCTAGTTAATGGTTATCTTTATTTATTTAGCTCTGCCTTGTATTATGACACCTTTACTTAAAGGAAAATTATTCAAATTCCCATCTGTTGCTAGAATTAGTAGTTTGGTTTTTTTTGGCCTGTGTCACATGGCTGCCATCAGTAAACCCAAAATTTCCATTGCATTCAGATTATTATGGTCCCTCACGAGTGACATTACAGTTTAGCAGACTTGTGGCATTTTCATGCTTTTTCATCAATGCAGCCAAATATCCCTCAAATAAACAGGACCTAAAATGCAGAATTATCACTGTCACAGTAAGTTTGAGTGTGGTGATAAAGACAGCTGTCAGAGGCCTCTTTTGACAACATCTGCCATTTCAGTTGGATGTCAGCAGTACTCAGGTAGTCTTGGGTTAGCACAGTAGTTATCTCTGTGGGTCTGGTACTGGCTCTGATATAAACATACTTGAATGTTATCTCATTGTAGAGATGCAAGGAATTTCTGAGATGTTATTAAGAAGATGGAATAGAGCAAAGACATGCAAATATCCCAGAGCAAAACTAGATTCCATTATTGATACCATGCTCTCTGTTTCATGAGGCAGTGTGATTGAAAGAGAGAGCAGAACAAGTGATTGCTTCTTGGACTGTCAGCTGACAGCTGTAGTATTTTCTGTTCCTAAACTCATCACTGCCACATTCTCACCACTAAATGATGTCCTCAAGTGCCATATCCAAACACTGAACACTTTCAGGGATGGTAACTCCACCACTTCTCTGGGCAGTCTTTTACAATATTTTACAACCCTTTTAGTGGGAAAAAAAATTTTAATAAATATATTATTAATAATCTAAAGCTCCCTTAGTGAAGCTTGAGGCCATTTCCTCTTGTCCTCTCATTCTGATGGTGTGATGGGTTCAACATTGTGTTGTCAGTGAGGCAGGCTAATAAAGATGTGATCTTCACAATCAACTAAAAGACAGTGAAGGAGAGAAAAGATACTCCTTTCTCAGTACTGGTAATTCCTCTATTTCCTGCAAATAGCCTGTATTCTGGTTGAAATGAACAGGGTTTGTGACAATTAAGTGAAATTCCGTTTAATAACAGCTCCAGTGTGAAATTGTAAATTGTTAAGTGGTCAGAAATAGGATCTGGATTTGCACAAAGTTGATGCTGTTGATGGCCATGATGCTTTGAAAGAACTTAATGTCAATTATAGGATGGACAGTTTAACACAGCAATAAAATCAAAGCTAGGCACAATTTCTTAGAAAGATGTTTATTAAATTTTTGTGCAGTTTGTAGAGTTACATGCCTTTTTTAAAGCCTCTAGTATTTCAAAAGCCTTAGTGTCCACTTAGAAATTTAGTGTTTGAAAGAATGAAAAATAGTTCATTTTGCCCTTGCCCTGTATATAGTGTAGGACTCTGTAGAATAGAGCTTTCGATATTTTGGGAGAAACTCTGTGGCCACACATTTGCATTTAATCACTATCTTCCCTCTGCTGAGCCTATCCCTAGGAAGTGTTGAAGCACACCATCTGCCAGAAACCATCCCTCTAATTTTCATGGTAATTAAAGCTTTAAAACAAAGTTGACATTAATTTACTCTGGCTGTTTCACATTATACAGGACATTTGTGAGCATGTGCTGGTTTAGTTTCTGATTACTATCTTTGGCAGTAAACCTGCATCATCATCTTTGCTGTAGCCATTTCATTTCCTTGGACTTGTAAAGACAATTTTTTGTTCAAATTCCATTACAGACATTTAAAAAATGGACTCACTGATAAACAGTAGAGTTGTATTGTTCAAACTGGCTTGGAATCAAAATACTTCATGCATTTCTCTAAATAATTTATAATGCCCTGGGTGCTTTATTTTATCACTATTCATGAGAGGGTCTGATCTACCCACTGGTGAGAATTCGATTTTTTCCCTGTTTTTGAAGCTTTACTTTTAACTGTGTATGAATTTGAAGTGTTGAGTTCTAGCTACAGAGCTATAATTTTAATCTTTTCTTCTTTGCTTCTGTTTTAATTTTCTTTTCTCAAGCCCAGTAAATTCCTGGCTATGCTGTAAGTCCTGATTGTGATTATACTTACAACACTACTGTTTTTATTTATGTGGCTACAAACAATTCATTTTTGTAGGTAGACAAGGCATAGCAGCTTTTTCTTACACTGCCAAGATTTCAAGTGTGAATTGTCCATCTCCCTTTTTTTGACATGGTTCAAGCATGTTGAAAAAAATTAAATCTGGCAGGTGTGGGGAGCCATGGAAGAAAATATTTTTATTAGCTTGATTCTTTCACTAAGGAAATGGGCACACCAGTAGCTCTTAATGTCTTCCAATGCTCATTGAACCTTATTGCAAAAGATCAAAATGTGATAAATAGCCTGTAAACTAAAGTACATTTTATAGACTGGCCCTAATTATCTACACCCAGGTGCAAAGAATACACTTATTTTCTGTAGTATGGTAAGTGTGTGTGACT